ACTATTCTTTTAATTAATTTCACTCATCTTTCTTTCAACACTTTTGTAACTTCAGTATAAACAATTAACTCATCTTTACTGTTTCTAGGACGAAATACCTGATATATACAAGTTAAAGGAGAAAAGGTTTATTCTGGTTTATCATTTCAGAGGTTTCAGTTCATGGTTAGGGCATCGTAGAGGAAAAAGGCAAAAACATCATGGTGGACGAGCACGGTAGAAGAAAGCTGTTCAGCCCATGGTAGACAGCAGGAGAAGCAGCTGAGAGAGAGGGATCAAGGGCCAAATACAGTATATTCCCAAAATCATGCCCCCATGACCCACCCAGACTCCAAGTATGCTTGATTAATCTCCTAAACTTCTCTCAAACCAGTCAAATTGACAATCAAGCATGGTGGATCGAGCCTGTAATCCCAGCACTTGGGAGGCTGAGGCAAGAGTACTGCTTTGAGTTCGAGGCCAGCCTGGGCTAGTGAGTTGAAGGACAGGCAGAACTATATAGCAAGACCCTGTCAAAAAAAAAAAAAAGGTAAATAAATAAAAAATTAAAAGCACTGGAGACCTAGCTCAGTGCAAAGGCCCTGGTTTCAACTATCACTTACAAGTATGTATAACAGCCCCAGGATAAATTCTTCTAAAAGCCCTACCTCTGGACACATGAGACTTTTGGGGGATTTTTAAAAAAAATGTTTGTTAGGGGGCTGGGGATTTAGCTCAGTGGCACAGCACCTGCCTGGCAAGCACAAGGTTGTGAGTTCGATTCCTAGTACCAGAAAAAAAAAAAAAAAGTTTGTTAGAAATTAACATGGCGGTACACTCCTGTAATCCCAGCACTCTGTAACAAGTGCCTCAAAATTTAAAAAGAAAAAAGGCAATGTAGTTTAGTGCAAACTCCCGCTCCCCCTCTCTCCCTCCCTTTTTCCTCCCTCTTCCCTCTCCTTCCCTTCCCCCTCCCTAGTCCCTCTCCCTTCCCTCTGGAAAAATTGCCCAGGCTGGGTTCCAATTTGCAATCTTCCTGCTTTAGCCTCTCAGACTGCTAAATTATAGGCGCGTACCACCAAGTCCGGCATGTTTTAATTCATTTACTTTTTACATCAAACCTATGAAGACAGGTAGTTACTATCCTGTTTTACTATGGAAATTTAAGTGCGGAGGTTACAGAATTTGAGGAATGGGAATCGGACCCAGGGCCATCTCGACGCGCCCCCCAGGCTACGCTTCCAAGGTAGGTCACGGGGCAGCCATGCTGTTTGTAGTCTGCGCGGACGGCAACTCCCAGCATCCCTCGCGGCGGCGGCTCTCCACACAACAAATCCCGGCGTGCCCTTGGGCGGCCCGGGGTGGAGGGTTCTAGAAGGCGTGACGTGGGGTCGGAGCGGGCTCGGAGGCGGGCGCCTCTTGGCAGTCACTGTGGCGGCAGCTGCCGGGCCTGGGGGCGCGGACCGTCGGGGTCGCGGTCGTAGCCTGCTCGCCTCGCCAGCCATGGCCGCGCTCGGCCGGCCGTTCAGCGGCCTCTCCTTGGGCGGCAGCTCGGACTTCCTACAGCCGTCTCCGGCCTTCCCGGGCCGGACCTTTCCGTCGGGAGCCCACGGTCCGGAGCTGACCCCGCGGCCGGGACTCCGCGCCGCCCCGAGCGGCCCGGGCGGGAGCACGGCGCGCGGACGGTGAGGAGCCCGGCGGGGGCGGGCGGGCGCCGTGATCCCCGCGACCCTCCGCGGGAGGCTTCGCAGCTCCTCTTGCGGAGACCTTGTTCCCCAGAGACGTTAACTGAAATCGCCGAGCTCGCACAGCCCGGGAGTCCGGGCCAACCCGCGCCGTCCCGGCTGCGCCCGGGGAAGTAAGACTTCTCCAGTTGGAGCCTGGGCGGCTGGAGCCCGGGCGCCCCCCGCGCGCACTCGCGCACGCTCACCTTCCAGACCGCGGCGCGGCCGCTGCTGGTGCCGACTTTGAGCGCTCTGGGACCCTCGGTTTCCTTGGCAGTGGGGACAGAAATGGGTCCCCGCGGTGAGATCACGGCAGGAGGGCTTCACACCGTGCGCGCGCCGAATGCGTTTATCCCACGGTGTTTCTCCCTCGCTTAGTTCCCGTTACCTTCAAGAAGTGCCAAGTTTAGAGTTCGGTGCCTGTAGTTTGGGTTCTGTCGTGTCTACTCACATGCCCCGGCTGACCTTGTGACCTGGATCCGTCCCACTTGGCCTGGAAGGGGACCTTCGGTGTGGGGTGGGTGAGCTAGATTAGCAAGAAAAGATGCCGAAAACCCAAAAACACTCAATTGACTGATGTCTATTTATTTCAACAGTGTTTCCCTTCACTGTAAAAAGAAACACAAGCGAGAAGAGGATGATGATGAGTAAGTCTCATGGGACATTCACTTAATGATCGCTGGTTGTTGTTGGTCTCCTTTTCAAACAAACAGACAAAAACAGTTTCCTTTGTAGCCCAGGCTGTTCTGGAACCTTGGATACTTTTATCTCGGCCTCCGAGGTACTGTGGGCACCGCGCTTAGCTACGCTGTTAATTTGACATATACACAGTATCTTAAAGTATTTAAGTGGAAAGTTACAAAACAGGTGTGTTTCAGGAAACAGACATAAACTAGTAAGCAGATGGCTGATGAATAAAGAAAATGTGTTTGTTTTTTGAGACAGGGTCTCACTGTGTAGTCCAGGCGGGCCTCCAACTCTAGGCTATCCCGTGTCAGGCTCCCAGGTGCCTGTGCCACCACTCTAGGCTGAAATGTAGTATTTATACACAGTGGAGTACTACTCTGCCATAAAGACAAACAAGTGAGAGGCATTAGTAGGTAGGTGAATGCAACTTGAGAATGTAATGTTAAGTAAAAAAAGTCACACACAGGCTTAAATATCTCATGGTTTCGCTTACTTGAGAGTAAAAATATATATATGGCAAGAGGAAAACAGAAGATAAATAGGAAGTAAAAAAAATTCAAATACTCAAATTCAAATTGTTTCAAAAATATTTTAAGAGAAATGCTAATTTGTTTTATTTATACTTGTAGTTTCCTTTGTTCATTGAAAAGAAAGTTTTGTCCTTTTGTTTCTTCTTTGTAAGAGAGAATTTCTTTTATTTAAGAGAATCTTTTTATGATTTGTGCTAAGTGACATTTTGAGTTTTTTTGTTTTTTTTGTTTTTTGTTTTTGTTTCTTCTGGTACCAGGAATCTAACTCAAGACCTTGGGCTGCTGAGCTATATCTCGGGACCCTAAGTAACATTTTGGCCATTCTTATTAGATCATGATACACTGTATATTAACTTTTGTTTTCTCTCTTTTTTTGTTCTGAAATTTTTTATAGATGTAAGAAGTGTTTTTATATTTTCTTTTTAAATATCTGTTTCTATTACATTAAGTAAAAAAATTTTAGAAAGAATAGAGGGAAACCTTACTCCTTAATCAATTGTAGTGTTTGACACTATGTTAATGTTATTACAGACACAATGTAGAAGAATCAAAGGATACATATTGAAAGTCTTGTAAGCAACCTCTCAGTGCTCCTCCTGAAAGGCAACTCTGTTACCTCTTTTTTGTTTTGTGGAAGATAATGTAAAAATTTACAAGCTTATAATTGAATATGCCTCTGATTTTTACAAGTGTTGAGAAATATGTTTACACTGTGCAACACATACATCTTTCATTTTACTCTTCTGTAGCTTGTTCTGTATCAGTGCATAGAATTCTACCTAATTTCTTTGTCAACAGTCAAATGAAATTTTGTTGGACTAAATATAGATAATTAGTCTCCTATTAATGGATTTCTAAGATTTCTAATTTATGAACAAGCCTATCATGACTATTATTTTGCAGTTCTTTGTGTATTTGCAAGTAGAGAAGTGGATTTCTTGATGGGGAATTAATTGGGTCTTAAAGCATGTGTATTTTATTTTTTTATTTGTTTTGGGACAGAATCTTGCTATGCAGTTCAGGCTGACTTTGAACTCACTCTGTAGCCCAGGCTGGCCTCAAACTCACAGTGATCCTCCTGCCTCAGCCTCCTGAGTGCTGGGATTACAGGTGTGCACCACTATGCCCAGCAAGCATGCGTTTTTTAAACACGAGTTGTTGCCAGTTTTTATTTTTGTTAACACTGGGAATTTGTTTCTCCATTTTCTAGCGGAGCTGTATTTTTGAACTTTTTGATTGTTAGTTAACTGGTAGTTGAAAATTTGGATCTCACAGACAGGCAAAAAGGAGTAGGAGTAGAAGAGTTCTGTGGAGATGATATCCAGGTGAAAAAGTGTTCAACCTCATCAGTCTTCTTAGGGAAATGAGTATTAAAGTTACAAACCACTCTATCACTAGATATTGGAGGAGATGGACAGCACCACAAACTGTCAAGTACTATGACAGTGTAAATTGGTACAAACAATAGAAAATAGCTTAGCACTACATACATTAAACATATGCATACTCTTACATAATAGTTTCCTTCCTGAATATACCTTAGAGACGTTCATATATGTATATATCAGAAAGCATGTAGAAGTTTATAGCATTTTTGTTGCTGATAGCTCAGATGTGGAAATAACACAAATGACACAGTGAAGTAGGCAAATGAATTATAGATTAATACAGTGAATAGCTATACAGAAAAAACCAAAACACTACTTAACATACATATTGTGAGCATAATATGAGCAAAAGAAATATCTCAAGAGTGTATATAGTATAACTCCCTAAAGTTCAAAAACAGGCAAAACTAAACATTACTATTGAGGAGTGCTTATACCTCTGTACATGATTTCATTTCATTTGGTTTGGTTTGATTTGATGTGGTTTTTTGAGACAGGTCTCACTATGCAGTTTAGGCTGGCCTTGAACTATACATAGCTGGCCCTAGCTGGCCTCAAACTCAAAGTGATCCTCCTGCCTCAGCTTCTTGACTGTTGGGTTACAGGGGTGTGCCACCATACCCAGCTAGAGTGTATTTTTTAAAAGGAAGTAATTACCATAAAATCAATAGAGTATGTTTGCAACTAGAAAGGAGGCAATAGATTACTATTTGGGGATGCTGGCAGTGTTCTATTATCTTATTGTATGCTGTATATGTTACTATATTTGTTTTCTAATTACTCATTAAATTGAATGTACTTTTATGTGCATAAGATTTTATAGTTAAGATGAAAGAAATTGGATCGCTTTTAATTTGCAGTGTTCATTGTAATTTGATATTGAATATCCTTCTCTTTAAGCTATTCATATTTTTTATTTTTAGGTGCGGGGGATTGAACTCTGGGCCTTCACACTGGGCAACATCCCCAGGCACCCCCCCTTTTTTTTTAAGAGTCTCACTAAGTTACCCAGACTAAGCTCAAACTTGCCATCCTTCTACATCAGCCTCCCAAGTACTGGGATTAAGGCATGTGCCTCCATGCCATCTTCAAAATAAAATTTAAAAAGGGCTGGAGATGGAGCTCAGTGGTACAGCACTTGTGTAGCATGTTTGAGGCCTAGGGTTCATTCAGTCTATGTTAGCCACTTTTGATTTATGAATGGAGAAACTGAGGTTCTGAGGAGAGGTGCAGCTAGGTATTCAGATGTTTAATGACTGGATATATACCACTCAAGCTTCTTTTGTGAATAGCTCTTACCTGCAGACTGGACCTACAGGCATGCAGGAATTTAGCCATTACCAGAATCATGTGTTGTTGGAGGTCAGAGAACAGAGCCTAGCTCTCTTAACCGTGGTTGCAGTTTTGTTGCTGAATTTTTAGATGTGCTATATTACCTGTTCTCTCTAGATTTATTTATTATTTTTTCAGTAGTACTGGGGCTTGAATGAAGGGCCTTTGCACTGAGCTACATCCCCAGCCCTTTATTTTTTATTTTGAGAATAGGTCTCACTAAGTTGCCTTGCCTCAGTTTGAACTTGTGGTCCTCCTGCCTCAGTCTGTCAGAGTGCTGGGATTACATGGGTGTGCCTGGTTTATTCTACTTTTTCTTAGCTGTTTGTTTTTTTTTAATATGAATAAGGGGTGATAGAAATATATGGTGAATGTTTAAAAATTGTGTTACAGTAAAAACATTAATGCCCTTCCCTCTCTTGCTGTGCATGGTGGTACACACCTATAATCCCAGTTTATGGGAGGTTTAGGCAAGAGAATCACCACACGTTCAAGGCCAGCCTGGGCTACATGGTGAGTTCAAGGCCAGCCTGAACTACAGAGTGAGATCTTGTCTCAAAAAAACTATATATATATATATATATATATATATATATATATATA